AGAAATGATTCCATCATCACTCAACATCTAAAAGCTAGAAGGATAGATAGGTAAAAATTAAAGATAAGAGAGGAGAATCAGCTAGAAGATCTGCGCAAATTCAAAAAGCTATGACAGATACCGTAATCGAGAACCATGTGAACTCTTTCCATTCATATGATTCTCATTATAAATTAGACCACTTACGACGATATCTTTCACCTGAGATAAATATCTCGCTCACGTGGAGAGATTTTCACACGAGCAGACAAAACATATACCAAAAGTCGAAACAAGTTGTTGATAAACTCAATATTGGCTTCGATCACCCCTTTCAGGATGATTGCGGAGTTTGTAGTAAGTACTCAATCTATAATGGAGACACAGCTGTTGATCTTAGTTATGATCCTCTCGTCTGTGAAACTTGTATCAAGGATAATGTGCATAAGATACATTACACTTCAGCTAGGCGTGCTTACAAGTAAGACAAAGTACGTGAGTGGCCAGGAGGAACTGAAATTTATACTGTAGATCTACAGAAAGTTCTGCTCCTTCCCAAGCTGACTACTAAAGAGTCATTTTAGATAATAAGTGTTATGTCTGGCATGAAGCTACTAGAGGGCGCAATGCTCCAGATATTGCCTCAACGTTCTATCATGTCATTAAAAATTCTAATTCAAACGTTATGTCTTTTATCCTTTTGGTTGAATAACTGCTCCGCCCAAAATAAGAACTAGACGCTGTATATAATGTTTGCCTGTTTAGTGAATGCAGAGTGGGGACCTGAAAATATCATTGTAAAGTCTTTTGATCCAGGACATTCTTTTATGCAGGCTGACTCAGTAGATGGACAAATAACGATTTTGTTGATGTGATAAATGCATCGTCTAAAAAAAAATAAACCAATAGTTTTGCGTCACAGTGATTTCTATCCCTTTATCGATGGCTCCAAACAATGCTGTAAAAATATATCTGGGAAATAAATATTCCTCTGTTAGACCAAATCAAGATTGCCGAGTTCCGAAAATGTTGCAGGTCTCTATTCTACAAAGGATCGTTTGTTGAGACTAAGTACGTTGAGGCGAACTTTTTGAAGAGCAAGTTTGTTATAAATCAGCAGCCTGTTTATAGTAATGACAGAGCGATCAACACAGCAAAAAAACTAAAAATAGTAGAAGAACTGTGTGCTTGGATGGAATCCAGGAAACAACTATTTTGGAGATAATTACCAACGAATGATGATGTTCCTGATCTTTTATGTCGATCGGGAGAATCTGCATAAACGCAACAGCATCCTAACTTTTCAAGATTATTTAATGGCATCCCGTTAAAACTGTAAAGAATCGACAAGGATCTTGAGTATCTGAATTCCAATGTGAAAAACAAGTAACTTTATTTACTGTAGTATTTACTTGTTGTAGTCTATAGACAATAAAATTTCAAAACTAAGTACCTAATTTAAGTTTATTAAGACAGATTATAGATAAGAATTGTTACAATAGTTGGAAAGGGCAGATTTGTGTTCTTTACAAAAAGTTTTTTTACTATTAGTGATTTAAGTGTATTCAACGGCTTCAAAAAAATTTGCTTCCATGATTTACTATATAAGTCACAAAACAGCTATAACAATGAAAAACTAAACATCCACGTATGGTTTAAGCGACTGCACCCCAGAACGTATCTCTAGAGAACATAAAGTGTAATATTACCTTGGACATGTACTAATGTTCCGTTACATCGAAAAAAATGTTGGGAAGTATGAAAGCTCGAAGCAACGAAGCAAAGATAAAAGGACTTCGTCACTAGTTTCGTCAGTCAGTCAGCGGAAATGTGGTTCAGCTGGCACGCCGATTCTTACATACAAAGAGAGATAAAACACAAATTACGAAGTGAGACCATGTTCAACCATCTGCTATGACTGTACTTCAACTGTGCAATTGTGGCCTTCTTGAAATAGTATATCATTGTTGAAGCTATTGAGTTTATAACGAATTTGTAGTAGCGTATTCATTGATTAAAATAAAAACAATATTTAGGTAGGAACTACACAAGTAATAATTAAAATTTTAATGGAGCTTGAGGATTTTGAAATCAGTAAATAACTAAATGTAACCTAGTGCTGAAATGAATAGACCTTTAGTCAAAAGTACGAGTCTTATAGGCCCGTATCGTCAGTCGTCCCTACAATTGTAGGGCGCGTTTATGGCCTCCTTGATTGTCATACTCCTTTCTCTCCTTCAAAAATGTCTAGATTACACTTGTCCCGTGTCAGCGCCAGCGCTCTCCTATTGTGAAGATATGTTTTCCTTTTAAATTGTAGGAAATTTCAGGCTGATAAAACATGATATAACTCAAAAGCAAGCACAATTTGATGCTAATAGATGTGTGTGACATAACCTCAAAATAGAGCACTGACATGGAGAAATAGAAAACTATGACAATCAAGGAGGCCATAAAGGCGCCCTACAATTGTAGGGACGACGGACGATACGGGCCTTAGAGCCTTGAGTAATCATTTATACTGAAAGAAGTATGAATAATTAGCGGAATGCAACCCAGTGGCGGATCCACGGAGGGGAGACTATGGGAGAGTTCTTTCCCCAAAAGATCACAGGATAAGAAAGCAGGAAATTCTGCATATTTTTTACATGTATGTTACGCTTTTTCGAAATGCTACTTTGATAATTGGGCAGTATTTACTGGTAGATAACCATTCAGTGGTTCATGAAGCAAAACCAATGAAAATGTAATACTTGAATTTGGCGAGTTTTTCAACACGACTTCGCCAGCAGGGACTGCCCATTTTCACGTATTAATCAACTGAGATGTAGAACGCACATCTAATTCAACAAATCTATCTCAGAATGAACTATCATCAAGTAAACAACATCACACCCTGCTTCACACTGCATATTGCTAGCCATCAATGCTAGTGTTAAAAAATCGTTTTCTTCGCATCAAATAAAAACTAGGCTTGAAAGTACATACAATGGTTCAGAATAAACTCAACGAGTCTTCTTCACAAATCCAAATATTTCATTTTCCTTGTTCTTCCCTTGTTTCATGAATGCTAGTGTTAAAAAATCGTTTACTTTGCGTCAAATAAAAACTAGGTTAGAAAGTACAATGCTTTAGAATAGACTCAACGAGTCTTCTTCACAAATAGAAATATTTCATTTTCCTCCCCCCCTTGTTTCTCCCACCTCCACATACACACAAAAATTCCCCTCTGCATCCACCACTGTTTTTCACCAACTTACTCAAAGAATTGAGATCCTTATATTCCGATACTCCAGTCTGGAGTTTCAATTATGTCTAGCAAGAAAGATTCAATAAAATGTCATCGGAATTTTCCACAAGTCGTGGCAAATATGGCGAGCAGTGTATCCAATCAATTGCATTTCCATCGCGTATGGCTGCGAAGACCTTCTAGTGTAGCGTTTCAACCTTACAGCTGGCTGCCTCGTCTTCTTGCTAGCCACTTAGCCAGCCATTTTATTTTCCCAGACACAAGAGAGACAGTGATGCAACGACGCTGTGCGCTGGTGACCGTCCAGAAGCGCCCACGTTCCACTTGTTTGTCATACTTTTCCCTCGGTTTTAAATGACAATGATTCACAAATATCATTGTTGTTAGCTGGCGTCTGCTTTTCGCCTATTTTATTTCTTTTCGCAAATCTTGAACAGGTATAGAAATGACGTGACAATAATATGGACACTTATGATCCGAAAGAGTTGGTCTTTCGTAACGGTGTCCCGATTTCGAAATTGGAGAAAAAAATCGATAATGTCAACAAAAAATCAGGAAATAGTATTGGTATATATAACCATCATTCATAAAAAATGTGTAAAAAATCACATCTTTTCGACTCCAAACATCTTGTAAATTAAGAGTCTGCTCGTGGTTAGGAGAGCAGTCAAAAACTTTTAATAGTGTTCCACATTATCGATACGCGTAAATACAAACGAGCGGTTGTACCTAGCAGTTCTAGATGTACAAGCTCACGTTCGTCTGGTAGCCCTATATAATGGCCTTGCATCACGGAGGAGTTACCAAACGGAACGGTGCTTTGAAAACAATGAGTATTTCACCATAATCCAGGTATACTTAGCGCAAAAAGTGATAACACTTGGTTGAACCTTGCCTTGAAGTTGCTATTATAGCAAATTTATCTACAGGTTCCATTTGGTGTTTAAACAACATATTATATTTACCAATCGTCACACTGTTAATGTGAGTCAATCATTTTTTGGAATATAAAAACCACAAAATACGCTGGAAAGAATCAGAGGACACTAACTAACATTTAGCAAAGACATCCTTGACTAATAATTCTACATGTGAAATATACCTAGCATGAACTACATCAAATCCAGAATCGTAATTAGTGATCAATTTCGAATTAATACTACCTATAGGTCATTAGACGCAGTAGAAATATGTAGTAGGAATTTTCGATTGACGTAATTTGAATTTGTATCACAAATCTTCATATTCAGCCAATACAAAACGTGATAAATGAGGAGCTCTTTCAGTGGAGCCCTTTAAATGAATAGTAGGCCATGCTAATTAACACGATCACAGAAACAAAGCAAATAACTAATTATCACAACTAACTTTGATGACGCAACCAAAGCAACCTTTATTCCGGAAGCATTAAAAAGCTCGATTAGCTATGAAACACAACACACCTCATAATCCCTCTACTAATACAAGCCCCTCCCCCGAACCGTGTTTTGGTACAAAACATAACCTGTAACCTCACGTTGAAACCATAAAACAAACTCGAAAAAACATGTTAAACGTCCAGGAAAACTGCATCGACTAAGAAATGTAGGTAAAAGCATGTGTGACAGCGGCCATGTTATCCATATTCTGTACCGCGAGCCCAGCAGCCAATATGGTCGAGAATCCCGTTTGTCACTACGCTAAAATCGACCGTACGGTATTGGACGTGCAGGCGGCAGCTGGCTCATCAGAATTTGTAAATGGAGACGAATCAGAAATGAAGGATACTCACTTTGATCGCTAACGAGTCCAGAATCCTTCTGGGCAACACTCTGTCCTCTGCCGCATTTTTGAAAGTCTCGGTAGTTTCGCACAAACACAATCTACAACAGGTTTGAAAATTCATCATCTCATCCATGCTGTTGGGTTGGCACATTCACTGACGCTGTGAAGAGGAGTGTAGCAGCAAGGCTGGTGCTTGGATATTGAGCCTGAGCGCTGTAGTGTCTCGTATATCCCCACTTGGCAAAGTAGAACTGGCAACTGGAAGACGCTGCCAAGTACACGCCGTGCTGTGAGGGCTTTCGAAAGGGTCGAGACCTGACCTGAAGGGATGTGAAGGGGAGCGATTTAGATGGCTGGCTGGCTGTCTTGGCTTGCTTGGGGATCTTCTCGTATTGACGACGATGCGCTTACCGGATAGGATAGGATGTCGTGCTCTGCTGCTAGTGTGGTGGAGAGCAGCCAGGACAGCATGCAGTGGCGCGCTGGTACCTACTAAATGTTTGGAAGGGAACTGGAGTTTAATTATGAATGGGAATTGAATGATTGTGGGTGGATGCAGGAAGAGTAGAAAACTACCATAAGATGCATTTCGATGTCAACGAAGCAGTTTTGATAGTTATAGTAACTGATTACAATAATAGTCTTCAGTATAAGTCTTTTTGGTACTTAATACTTGTAGGTATACTAAGCAGAATAAACAAGCCAAGGACTTTTCCACATTATCTTCACAACCACATATACCTATGTACATATTTATTTAACCTAATTCCAGTATGTTGTGCGGAATATTGTTCTATTGACCATCTAACAACAATAAAAAGTTCTATCTCTACCTCTTATAGTATTTTAAGTGCTCTATTCTGAAATCTCAGGAAACTCTCTGGGGTAACTTATTTTTGTGGAATCTAAATCATTAAAAAGATGATGGTGATACAAACGTGGAATTAAATCAAACAAACACATAACTTTTCGTAGTGACTGAATGTCTTGCCGCGGTATTTTCGTATTTTTTTCAAATATCGATCATTCTCACACGAAAGCTGTGCTTGTGAAACAAAACTTCATCACTTTAAACCAATTCATTATAAAAGAAAGAGAGATAGTCAAACCCAGGTCATTGAGTAAATCAATCAAATACGAATAAATAGATCCCATAAAATCAAGACATCTGCTTCGCTTTGGTTACCATGCACTCATGTGGCTCTGGCATGGCACTGTAATCAGCGACGTTGCCGCCTCACCCCAACCTACTTCTAGCTTGAATGTTCTCACTGGTTCCGACTAGAGTTTTTGGTTCAATAAAAGTGACTTTTGCATGGATGTTTGAAAAGCCCCAGACAAATAAGTCTACCTAAATTGTTTCGACGAAATACAATTGACAAAGTTAAGCTTTTCCGAAATGCCTTGGTACCTACTAGGTATATTTGTGACAATATACATACCTAAAATGTGTGTAATGTAATTATTTCGTAATATAGGTATGTTTCGTCTGTAAAGAGGACTGGAATCACCGATTTTCGTATTTCATACTTTATGAAATACCTATATGATGGATTTGGCTCGCAAAATAAAACCATCAGATTTTTCTTCTGTTTTTCAAACTGCAAATATGTATCTTAGCGTTGTATTGTTTGAGTCGGCCTTTTGCTAGCGAAATTCTTTAGGGAATTTCGTAATAATTCTCTCAGAAAGGATTTAGGTTTTAAACAAAGATTGAGAATAGACGCTGCGACAGAATAATGATGAGAAAAGAAATAAGACCTGAAATATAATTCAACGTAGACACTGTACCTATAAGCCGATAAGTGACTGATGCTGTTTTTAGAAACTGGTCATATTTCGCATTGAAGTTGAACCCTCTGTGTCCAAACCACACCTAAGCTGAATGGGCCTCTATACAGACGGTTTGCGGGTGACCTATTATTGAACATGAACAACCATACCAGTTGCCAGCACGTCAGCAGGGCTCATTGGCGTACCACAAGGTTTTCTCCAACAAACATATTATTTCACTTATTTTAGTAGTAGGATTCCGTTAAATGACGCCGAGCATGGGCTGATGTCTCCTCATCCCATTCTATTCAGATCAAGTTCTAGATCTAGAATCTAAACCGTGGTGGATGATGTTTGCGTTGTAAAAAACTGCTAACAAAGCTGCTAGTGTGACGCCTTTTCTGATACATCAAGTGTCGATCTGACGGAGATTAAGAGGAATGGTCGGAGTCGCTCTCGCATATATGGATAAGAAGCAGTTTTGTGAGACATCAGTCAGCGGCGCATCATGTACCTTTTCTTAAATTGACTCGTTGCATAATGAATGCGATGAAGTGTTCTAATTCTTTCTTCAAGTCAGTGGTTAGTACTGAACGCTATCTATTTTAATATCCTTCTCTGAATTCATTTACTGAGGTGTCCTAAAAGTCATGGGTCAAACGAAACTGGGTGATAGGTACGTCATTTCCAATCAGAAAAATTATTTATATTTTCATCCCGATTGTGCACATGTTTTTAAGTTATCGTCATTTTTAAGAATTTGTAGAAAATTGCTACTCTTGAGATTGTATTATCATCTTTTTCTGAATTTATCTTTTGTTATTTCGCAATCAGCTTTACAGGATATGTTCTCAAATAATGTATCGATGAAGGAAACCTATCAGTGAAAAAACTTAATGTAGGTATATCAATCGATGGAGCCGCAATTTTTTCTGTGACAGCCTATTCAACAAAGCCCGTGTACAAAAACTAGTAGTAGATCAACTGTCCATAGTTATGAAGACCTTCCAGATATTATTGCCTTCTGAAATATCTTTTAGAATAGCTTCTGCAAGATAGACAAAATGCTGCAGGTACCCTAAATCTCGAAAATCTCCATTTTGTGAACTTGTGCGCATATCATCGTCAGTCGAGAATTACGATTAACGACTACTTAATCCAGATTATTGCCACGTGTTCATGTGCACCGATACATTTAACACCCGCAAATCGCGTTTAGGCGTAATCCTAGCATATTGGCAGCTTAATCCAAAAATTGACGGATTGGGGTTCTAACCTCATTTCGAGTTGCTGATTTCTTTGTGAAAAAGTGCTTTTTTGCAAAAGAAATGTAGATTGATGATCAGATTTTCTTTAAGGATGATGGTGAGCGATATTCTAGATATTATTCGCTTCAGATTTCCAAGATGCTATATTATGAACATGCAGATTTTTTCAACGAGATGGACGACCTATTGATTTTCAGATTTTAGCTCCAAAAAAAAACGCAGTCCTCAGATTGTTAGAACAAATGATGAGCATCAACTCGAGTTTGATGACAATTTGTAAGTAGGTATCTTTTACCAAATATTAAATTACGATAATCAATTTTCTTGGTCAGGATTGAAGTTTAAACAGGAACGTCTTTAAACAGTCTTTCATCTGACTGTAGATCGAATCACTCAGGTGCTTTCAAAATTTCAGTCATCACTATAAAATTGTCGTTTTTCCAGGAATAAAAATCTGTCGCCCGTTAATCAGCTCCCTACATGCCTACGATTTTATGCCTGCAATGCACATACAAATTGTATTGGAGACTTTATTAAAATGCATCAGACAACAGCATCCCGTATAATTGCAAAAGTTTCGAGAGCAATCGCAGGTTTATCAAATCAATATATCAGAATGCCCAATGTAAGCTAATGAAATAATAAGAGTTCTGAATAGCTTTCATAGGATTTGTAGATTTCTACGAGTCATTGGATGCTTTGACATAAAGAAACAATCACCAGGAGCTCAAGATGGAGAAACTTTTCGTAATAGAAAGTCATATTCTTCGATAAATACTCAAATAGTTGCTGGACCAGGTTTAAAAATATTTGATATTGTTGCTAGATGGCCAGGATCTACCCATGGTTCAACTATTTTCAATGCATCCCAACTAATAGCACGCTTTAAAGGGAGACAATTTCAGAACGCTGTGCTCTTGGGAGATAGTCGTTATCAGCTGAAAGACTAAATATTGACATCTCTACAAACTCAAGGCAATGCTGCCGAAAATCTTTATAATGAAGATTATATTTGCACGCGCAATGTAGTAGATAGATTAATTATTGGTTTTAGGAAACGTCGGTTCCTAGTATTCGGTGTCCATAAGACAATGCCTGAACTACAATTATTATTGCCAGTGCTGTGTTTCAAAATATTGCAGTGAATATGCTAGAGGATATTCCTCCCCCTGCAGAAGAACTCAATGATCAAGATTACCTAATTTTACGCATGTACATGCGGCCATTGTTGGTCAACGCCCATTTAATTTTCGCCAAAATCTGATAGATAACTATTTTAGTTATTTTTAAAATATCTGAATATCTGGATATAAACGCACTTTTTGTAATATTGCATTAATAAAAAAGTTTGCTGTAGTATCTTTATTGTATTTTTTTAAAGTAACATATACATATCTCAACACAAATGAATTAAGTAATAATTATCATTGTAAGGATTTAAATTTAGTTTTTGATTCGACATTTTTAACTGAAGCAAATATATTTTAAGTTATCTTTCCATTTTTATAAATTTTTCTAAGAGTATATTGTATTTACACCTTGCTTCGGTCTTCTCTTTGACCTCTGTGGAGTCTGAAGAGCGACTTTTAGTTATGCCTTTCTCCACTTATCTGAAATGAAATTTCAATACATCACAATCAAGAAACATTGCAAAAAACTCATAATAATGTGTTTGATGGTTAAAGACAACAAAGAGGTAAGCTCATTTTCTCAGAATTTCTCTTGCTGGTTACCTAAATAGGTTTACTTAGAGCTTCGTTCCTGGGGCATTCTCTTTTCGTATCCATTTCTTGAAGCTACTTTTAAAGCTGCTAAAACTGGCAATTTTAGATCATCGGGCTTATATTTCTTCCAGCATTTTCTAATGCCCTGGAATATAACAACATGAATATGAGGAATGCATGTGTGTGTACTCTTAAATGATAATTGTTGAAAAAGTTTAAACTTAAGAACTACCATATATTTTACCCACTTCCATTATGTTTCATTAGTTACTAAAGTAGGAAAATAAAGAAGGATAAGCCTTCTAGTTCAGTGCGCCGTGCTTTACAGAATGTTGGTGTAGTTATACCCTGTTCGTAGTACACCAACAAAGATGCAGCGCGGCAAAGTGGCATCCGCCTAAGGGCTGCAATAGCTATTGGTCATTCAGCCATAAAACTACTAAGTGCAGGATTCGACATGATAGAACTCAGGCTTGGGTATCGCCGGCACGACGACGCCGGCAGTTGCTGTTCATATTCGGTGCATACATAGCGTGTGTTTATACGTTAGCATGCCGCCTACGGATACAGTTGAAACTGTAGAATATTTCTCACAATGCTTCCTTCAGCCATGTTTCCTCTTCAGTTAAGTCTCCTCCCCGAAAACGTGACAAGAAGGGACATTTGAATATTCAGGAAATTATCCTTAACGTTTATAAGAGCGGAATTTTATAGCATCCTGAAATGGAAATTCA